TGCTTTCCTGACAAATCCTTACACACTCAATCACATCCTGAAAGCCCTAAACCCTAAACCCTGAACCCTGAACCCTGCACCCTAAACCCTAAACCCCTAAACCCCTAAACCCTAAACCCCCGCAACCCTACACCCTAGACCGCTTAAGCCGTACACTCTCAGCCTTAAACCCTAAACCTTAATTGCTAAGAATGGCTACGGCTCAAGCCATTTTGGCTCAAGCCATTTTGGCTCAAGTTTCGGCTCGAGTTCCGTCGTCTGGTCTGGCCTCGTGCTCCTCCTCTTGTCGGCTCCCTCTCTCGCTCTTCTTTCCCCTCTCTCCTGCGCTCATCTCCCTCCCGGCTACCCCTTGTCATGATCTCCGGACATGCAGCAGCTACTTCGAATACTTTGTTTGCCGGAGGGAGTGAAGGGGATCGATTGAGAGGGATTCGTGAGATTGCTGGAGAAATTGAGTGTCGCCATGCCCGCGCCCTAGCGGGGGGGGGGTGGATACTGCTATCAGCCAGGCTACGACCGTGCCCTTTGGGGGAAGGACCGGGCCCGACAGTCAGGACACAGTTGCGCCCCCTTGTCTCGCTGTTGATATTGAGGTTGACGCGACTGGGGAAGATAAGGATGATGCCGCGACCGCCAGGGATGCTTCTACTGCTGTTGCTACACCTGAAGCTGGAATTTCGGAGGATTTGGATGAGTTACGCCCTTGGGTTGAACCCCCTGTTCCGGAAGATCCCAACCGCATCCCTCCCCGGAAAGTTGACTCCATGGAAGAATTCATTCCAGTCCCCCCTGCAGCTGAACCATTGGGACACCATACTAGTGCTCTGGAACGTCTCTTAGTGAAGCGTAACGACAAGGACAGCTCGGGAAGCGAATCATCCCGCAAACCCCCTCCTCCTAAAGTCCCAAGACTCGAACCCCCGGGTTTCGGACAAGAAGCTCGCCCCAAAGACCGCAAACCTTCTGAAGTGGAGTTCTTCGACTTGGACCCCGTGGGCAAAGGCGCGTCTACGGACCAGGAGGACGAGCTGCGAGGAGCACAGGCCTTGCCAGTGCCCCACGTTCCCCCCCGTAGCCGACGTGAGAGATCTTCCCCTTATGATCATGACAGGCCGCCTTGGGTTGGAGCCCTAGAAGGTCGTTTGCTCGCTCATCTGGAACCCCTGAAAGCGGACGTTTCGGATATTAGTTGCCGACAGACGGAAATGCATCGTGAGATTGCACAGTTTGCGACCGAAGTCCGCAAGCACGGGGACAGGCTTGACTTTCATGACGCGGCTTTGCAGGATCATAACAAACTTCATGAGGGGAGTCTCTCTCGTATTGAAGCTCTAGAAAAGGAGGTTAAAGAGCTGCGGGCTGCGTCTAGATCACCCACTCCTTCCCGTGCACCCCCTTCTCCTGGAGCCCGAAGCCTGACGCCCCAGCGAGAGCGCAACATCGAAGAGGAGCTCCAGATGGCTATAGGTGGTTGGGAGGACTGTAGGCGCGATGAGGCAGTGGAGGAAGCTAAAGCCATTTTTGAAGCAGCCCAAATCCCCAATGCATGGCTGGAGATCTGGTCCCCTTATTCCAGGACCTCGCATGTCAGAGTTATTCTCCAGTTCCCTCCCAACTACAAGACTGTGCCTCAGCAGCGAGCCTTCCAAACTGAGGTCCTGGAGAAACTGAAAGGTAGGAAGTGGACAAGTAATGTTCCTGGCAATGAGGGCAGGACCATCTGGATTCAGCGACACAGAAGCCCGGAGGATCGGGCTAAGATTCGGGCTATTGTCAGCGTCAAGGAGTTCATTGACCAATTAACTTTTGGCGGGGGCCTTCGGAAGAAACATGCAGAGATTGACTGGAGGGGAAAACTCTTTGTCGGTAACGTCAACGTACTCGGAGGCCCCCACGAAAGTGACACCCTGCAGGACCTTGACCTTCCTCTTGCTGACCCGCGGGGTAACCACACAGGGTGGTTCATCAAAGCTGAGCACTTTGCCCGTGCGACCGGATTGCCTGCTGAACAGCTCCCAGACTTGCGGGAGGCCCGTACGACAAGCAGGCCCTAGGGACCCGACCCCTGCCACACCAAAGTATCCTACTACAGGACCTGGAACCTCCGTGGTAAACCATCGAGGATGTGTGCCGATGCTGGGATCTTTTGGGTGGTGAGGGGATTGACTGTTTTGCATTTCAGGAAGTTGGAGGCTTGAAAGAACTTGCATTGCTGGGGTGGGGCCAGGACGAAGTACGTCTTGGATCTTCCTCTTATGTGACTTTTATGTCTTTCCCCTTGAAAAGTTTTCATGGCACTGTAATTGGTCTCCCTTTGGATTCCCTGCCGCATGTGATCCAGGTAAAACCCCTGCTCACAGGATTGGCGGTGATTCTTCGATCAGGTGGACGCAAGGAATTCGTAATTAGTATTCACCTACCACATCGACAGAGGCAGGACTGCCTGCAAGTCTGGCATGATCAATTAGACGAATTAAGGGAACTCCTGCATGGCATGCGATACATGGATCAGGTACAGCTCCTTTCTGACCTTAACCTTGACCTCATGTCTCTGCATGCCAACGAGAATGATGAGAGGAGAGTGCTTTTGGAGGGTTTTCTTTCTGAATTCGCTCTTGACCGAACCTACCCCCATAAACACACGTGGTCTAACACGAGAGGATCTACCTCCCGCATTGACTACATTTGTTTCTCGGGTGGGTCTCGACAGGCTATCTGGTCTGAGGTCTTGGAGGACTCGGATACCGCTCTTGGATCGGACCACAGATGCTGTACGGTGGCGCTCCAAAACCTAAAGAAATCGACCAGAGGAAGGGCCCTGAACTACAGTCATATGCACCGCTGTGGCAAGTGGCGCGTAGACCTCTCCCAGGCGCCTGGCCTTTGCGATGCCTTGTGCGAGCAACTACTCTGTTTGAGTATGCCCCTGACAGACACTGCCCTGCAAGGTCTCGCCTCACAGGCATGCTCCCGACCAGGATCCCTCCGATACAGGGATACGCCTGAAATTAAGCAGCTCATCAGACTCCGACGACATCAGTCGGGCACCAATCTCGGGAGACGGCCCAAAAAATCGTCACGGCAAGAGCCTTGGCGAAGAAAGCCTGGATGACCTCCCTGTTGGATCGAGGTGCCGCCGGGGACTACCACGCGGTCAGTTTCTTTAAACGCCGCCAATCGACACGTTTCTCCAGGGGTCCTTTATCATGCGAGCAGGAGGACAGGAGAAAGCAACCAGAGAGATGAAGTCTTTTTACAAGAACAAATATACTCCCCCCGAGCCCACGTCCCCCAGTGACACTGCGGACACCTACTTGTCTCTGGCACAGCAGGTTCCCAATGCTTCCCCTATCACCCCCCAGGAAATTCAGACAGTCTTGGACACCACTAAGGCGGGAAAAAGCACTGGACAGGACGGCGTCCCCTATGAGCTGATGTTCTCGATAATGCAGTCGAGCCTGCAAGATGAATTCGTTTCTTTCTTTAATTCGGTCTTGCACCAAACCACCCCCATCCCCGAGAGATTGCTCAAATCCCAGGTGGCCCTGATCCCCAAAACCAAGCGCCCCTCTAAACCCAAAGACCTGCGACCAATTGTCCTCTCCTCCACGCCAGGCAAGCTTTTCACTAAGGTGCTTTTGTTGCGCTTGCGACATATCTTTCCACCCATGCATTCCCACCAACTTTCAGGTCTGCCTGGAGCTCAGAGCTTGGATGGATCACTTACACTTCAGCATGTTGTGCGTCAGTCACAGCAGTGGAAGCTTCCATTGTACGCCACCAAATTAGATATCTCCCAAGCATTCGACACTTTGTCGCATGCCGCTGTTGCACGATACCTAGGTTGCCTAGGACCCTCGCGCGAAGCCTATATTCTGCTCCTCATAATTTGTAATTCAATTGCATGCATGTCACTTGGCAGTGAATCGTGGGAGCAGCCCCTCTGGCGGGGGCTGAAACAGGGCTCTTCGTATTCAGCGGAGCTCTTCGCCCGTGTCTTGGATCACTTTGTCAGTCCCCTCTTCCACAAATGGAGGGAAAAATATCCCACATGGATACGGGATGAAAACAATGTTAGCCTCCATGCCATCTTGTATGCAGACGACGTAGTGCTCCTGTCGTCGAGTAAAGCCGACATGCTTAACATGTTGACTGAGCTCCGGCAGACTTTGGCTGCAATAGGATTGCATCTCGCACTTGAAAAATGCCAATTCATCTGCAGCCCAGGCCTCGACACGACTCCCCTACTCCTGCCTGAAGTGGACAAAGCCCTGGCTATTAAACACACTGAGGCCTTCGTATACTTAGGCATCCTGATTGGTTTCGGGCTCAGTTGTGGAACAGCGCTATCGAGAAGGCTGGCAGCTGCTACTGGGGCGTTCTGGGGACATAGTGGTTTTCTTTGTAGAGGGACGGCTCCCCTGAAAAAACGCCTCCAACTTTTCGATTCGTATGTAACAAACACGTGGAAGTGGGCAAGTGCAGCTTTCCGTCCCGTGGGGGAAGTCAAACGACTCTTGGACATCTTACAAACATCACTCCTAGCCTCTATGCTACGCCCTGCCTACGACGGCTTACAGGATCCCGTACACAACTGGGTCTGCAGGCGCCGAGCTGCAAGAATGGCGGCACAGGCATGCTCTCATGTACGCTGGGCGATCAGTCAGGCTGAATGCTTCTTCAGGTACTGGGGACATGCGGCACGCTATACTGCCTTCGATTGGCGTCCCATCTCCAAAGTCATTTGTTTTCGAGACCATGACTGGCTTGCCGCAAACCCCCTCACCAGACGTGCTAGGGGTTTCTGGCCTGCATGACGCTGTCAGATGGATCCAGCTGCAGTGGGAGAGCGTTGATCGTTTGGGCAATTGGCTGCCCCAGGCACAGGATAGGGAACAATGGAAGGCCTTTATTCGGGATTGGATTTCATCGAACTATTCCCACAGTACTGGTTGGTACCCTTGCTTGGAATTCGTCGAACTTCTCGGTAGGTCTTTGTTGCATGTGGGGGACCGCTTTTGGCTCCTTCCCCTGCGACACCCCCCTGTGGAGGAGCCCTATGATCTGGCATATAAATATGTCCCAGGACCCGACGCAGAGTCAAACCAGGCAATTTTTAGAGTATCGTCGGACGGGAGTTCATCCGACTACGTCGGGGGAGCGGGAGTTGTGATCCTGCCCCCGTATGGGCGGCTACCTGAGGACGTGGTCCTGATCTCAGTGCCTATCTCCGATAGATGTACTAATATCAGGGCGGAGCTCATAGCCGCCACACAAGCCCTGAAAGTCTGTGCCCGCCTCAGACAGGACTTCCCAGGCCACTTGCTTGAGCTGCATTGTGACTCACTCCATGTGTTGCATGTTCTCTCGGACTCCATTATCACCACGGCCAACCTTGCTGAGGTGTGCCAGCTTAGGCAAATGTGGGCCAGGGTCAGGGAATTTGTCGTACCCCTTCATGTCAGAGCACACAAAGGTGACCCCCTGAACGAACTTGCAGATGCCGCAGCCAAACGTGCGACAACCATGCCTGCTGGTAGAACCCTCGTGAGAGGGTGGGACTACAATCTTAGCAGATTCGTTGGTGTGCATGCAGCCTGTCCGTCTCTCAAACCATGGTGGTAATTGCCCCTCTACCTCGTCCCTTCCCCTAACCTGTGCTTGCTTTTGTCGGCAACTTGAATACCTGCTCGTGCACGCCTGCTTGGAATTCGTAGAGAGAGCCGCGCCAGGAGTAATTGATTCATGCATGATACTTGTCTCCGCAGCCTTTTCTCGCGAACACACGGGGGGGGGGCAGGACGTGTGATAAATGTCTTCGTGTCTGGCGAGCCCTCACGACCTGACACAGCAATGGAACCGCTCGACGATCCTACAGGTAACTGCTTGTCTTCTCGGTGTGCTTTTTGCTCTATGCCTGCTCTTCACTACATGGAAGAACAGCCGAGACCTGAGGATACTACGTGGCCAGCTCAGTCTACTGCTGGAACAACACCGAATGTCCAACACCCCTGTTATCATATCTGAGCCAGCAGTTTTTTTCTGAGAGCGTGCACAGGCAAGTGCATCTTGCCACTAACCACTTGCGCAACCAGAACGTCATGCTGCAGTCCCTTGTTCTAAGGGCCCAGGACCAGATTGAGAAAACAATTCGTGGTTTAGGCGCGAGAGTGACAGCCTTGACCGGAGCGGTGACCACCATCGAACAGATGTATGAGGCGACTGCTGGATGTATCAATGACGTCTTCCAGGCTATGGACGATGTGATGCGTAAAGAGAACTCCCTTTTCCAAGAACACACAGCGGTGGTGGCCCGAGCTGTTAAAGACCTTGAGGAGACTTTCCGCAGCACTCTGGCATCGCACAAACAGATGTTTGAGAGCTCTGGTTTCTCGCATGTCACGTACTTCAACGATATTTTGAGGCTTGAGAATGACCTGCACTCTAATTTGCATGAGCACATCCTGCCCGCACTGCGATTTATTGCAGATAACTTGCAAGCCCTTTCCCAGAGTGAACAGTCACGTGATTCTGCTATCGCTCTTCTGAATAATACTCTTGCCCTACATATACACTCCGTGGACAAGCTTACTCAGCCTTCGCCGCCCCCTGCACCAGCTCCTGAACATCAGGAGGAACACCAGGACCCGCTGAGTTTTGCTGCCACTGAAGTGATTTTGAATGATGGGACTTCCATCCACGTGCAAGCGGATGACGATGTGTTGAACTCGTAATTTACAACTGCATGGCTGACGCACCTGCCGTAATTCGTAATGACGTGCATGGATCTTCGTCTTCCTGCAGAAAGGAGTACACAGGACCGAAGCTGCCCTGCTCAGGACCTCAGTACTGATGCTCATGCCCTTTAGGTGCTTTTTCGTGGCTGATTTGTTTGTTCTGTTAGAATCATTTCCTTGTCATTTGCCGACATTTTCTGCTGTACCTTGACATGAGTTACTTGTCTAAGCACATGTGTGGCTGCACCCAGTTTCTTCCCTACGCTCGACGCAGACACTGTTTTATATAATGTTGGGTGCCTTTGGATGAGGGTTTGGTTTGGAAGGTGCCACGAGGCGCCCCTCGCATAAGAGAGCCAGGGCTTCCTGTCACAATTGCTGACTTGAAGGTATGTAGGTATCCCGCACAAGCCTGAAGAAGTGGTCCCTTTGCAGTTTTATTTGGTCCCCCTGCAGTTTTTATTTGTTTAAGCCATGGTCGTTTCGGGACGAGAACCCTGGCTAAACCCCAATCCTACAACAGCCTGCAGCTTACCTGCTCGAAGCCAAGCGAAAAGCTCCCCCTTCCATAACATTGCCACTGCCATGGCCCCCTTGTTCGAGTTCTTCCGATGGCTGAGCTCCTTTAGGGACCTGGACATCCTTTCAGATCGAATCTGGCAAGGCTTCCTCACCCTTGCCTTCATTGGTGTTGTTGCTCTCCTGTTTCGAGGCTTTGTGGACTCGAGGTTGGTGAGAATGCAGCAAAGCCTAATCGCCACTATGTACGAACATATGCAGGAAGCGGATGCTAGCCGGCAACGTCTTCGTGCTCACCTTGAGGACCTCCTGGAACATCATGCCTCGGCAACCTTGACTCCTGGGACAGTTGAAAGTCTCTTGGATGAAACAAGGTCCCGGCTCTCTAGCCGCCTCGACAACACGGCTGGCGAGGTCATTGACCGATTCCTACAGATGGGCCCCGAGTACTTGAAGAATAATTTGGTGCATGGAATTCAGTACGTTCTGCAAGCACAGCCCAACCCCGACGATGGGTCTATCCTTATACGCACATGAGGCGAATGTATTTGTCGCTGCAGCCTACCCGCATCCTGGCACAGAATGCGCAAGGCGGCACACCACAGTCTCAGGCCACCTTGGACGACCTGCAAACCAAGGTGAACTCTGTGATAGACATCCTCGTGAAGCTTCAGATCGACACCGGTGTCCTTGCAGACACCGCCGGGCCCACACACGCAGGTCGTGTGGCAGCGGATCTGGACAAAATCATCGCCTACGTGGAGCAGCTCTTTGAGAGGCACGACAATCATAAGGGCCGTGCGACGGAGACCTCATCACAGATTCACGCGGTGATGAACCATGTCAAGCAAGCCAATGGCCTCTCCAACAGCTGCCTCAACCAAGTGAACCAGGTGAGCAACACGCAATGGTCGCATGGTGACCTCCTGGCAGCCCTTCAAGAGACGCAGAGAGAACAGGACGAAAGACTGAAGAAGCACTCGGATGCCTTGTCCAAGATCCAAAACCAGCTGGAGAAGATCATCGTGAAGCTCACTCCGCCGATGCCCACGAAAGCACCGCCACCCCCAGCACCTGGGTCTACCCCTTCGGCATCGACGACTGCGCCTTCGACACCTACACCGCCAGCTCAGCCCGCACAGGTGCCGACACACCCTGCAGGGATACCTCAATCCTGTGCGCCTCCTTCGCAAGGGACGGCGGAACCCCCCATTATTCGATTGAGCGATCAGATGGGACCAAGGCAGCCCCTACAATTGTTTGAGAACCTGGGCGTTGCGAGTCGCTGGCAACAGCCCTCCTTTGATGCTAGAGACCCACGGGCGCAACAAGCCCTGGCATATCTCTTCAGCATCTTCAACAACCAGTAGGTGGCATTTTGCATCCCCCCTCTTTTGGTTCTTGGTGATTCGTAGTTTTTGTAGTCCTTTCCACCCCGTGTTTCTTCCCCCGATGTATGGGAATCTCTGTAATTCATAATTCGCTTCTAATTCATACCTCGTCAGCACATGCATCCAGTAATTAGGTGATACGCGCCCTTGCCCGGCACCGCAAAAAGTGAAGTCTCGCTCTTCCAACTGCAGCTACTGGGGGCCTGATATCAATCGCACATGAGCCAGTTTTTCGTGCCTCTATGCAATGGTCTTGTTCCTACGCCTTTGTCACTCTTGCACACTCTAGTCCTTTTTGGCTCACAGAACCCCGTCTTTCATGAGTCATGTCACGTCGTCTCGTGAGAGAGCTAGAGAAAGAGTATGAAGTTGAAGACCGCTCAGCCCTTGCGATGACTGCAATTGACTGTCTGCAGATTGAGGAACAGTGCAAGTTGGTAACCGACGTAGTTCGTGAGATTCCTGACAAGTTTTGGGGGACTGATGAGGGATCGAACCGCTACATCGTTATTGGCCAATGCCCCCGCACCCCCGGGCGTGTGACTAACTTCACATCTTTGTTCCCCAACTGTAGTCTTCTGCTGGCACACCTCATCCAGCTTGTGCAACCCGAACCCATCCCCTACACCAGTGTTTCGATTCGATCTGGCCCAGGAAAACCTCCGCATAGAGATGCCCGAAACTCCCATGCACCCTCTACAATTCTAGGCCTCTCTGACTATTCCAAGGGCCGCCTGTGGATTGAACACCCGGAAGGTACGATACCAGGTTGGGCTCCGGGGTCTCCCGATACGCATCATGGCTTCTTTCACTGTATCAGACACAAAGCCATCCTCTTCTCGGGAAAGACCTTGTTGCATGGCACTGAACGTTGGAACGATGGTGAGCGAATTATCGTAAATGCGTGGTGTCCCCAGCTTGCCACCAACAATACTGAGTACTTTAATACTATCCTGCACTTGAGAGGCATGCAACCCCCCCGCAAAGGCAGTGACCTGGACGAGTACTCTCTCAGTACTTACTATGGTCACCATGTTGTTCGACAGCTTAGACTAGGCCAAGCAATCCAAACACCACCCCCCGACCTCACCATCTCCTCTACCTCCTCAGAGTCGGAAGATGTCATCGAAGTGGCGGACAGAGGACGTTCGCGCACTCCGCCCCGCGTGGACTGATGTCCACAATGGGCCTGGGCCCAGCTGGATGATAAACGAATGCAACACTCGTCTTTTCATCCTCAATAATTGCATCTAGTTTTTCGCGTCGTGCGTGTCCTTGTATATACATCGTGGTCGCCGTGGCTTCGCAACTCAACCCGTTGCCCTACTTTAATTCAACTACATGGCCTTTTGCTTTGCATTCAGAATTTGGATCCACTTCAGTTGGAGGTTTTTTTGAATTCGGAATGGAAGTGCAGGAGCCTCTGAACTTTATAATTGGTAATTAGAAGCCTGTAATTCAGTCTGCATGGAGATCGTCTGTCTGTCTCTCTCTCTTTCTCTCCTTCTCCTTCTGTCTACTCCTGTCTACTGTCTCCCTGTCGCACCCTAACCCCTCGTGCTGCCATGGGATTCGCGAGCTATAACCGGCGCCTTCTTCCACTGCGCTGCTATGGACATAGCCCTGACTGGCTCGGGTGTGGCATGCCCCATGCTGTGACCCACGCTTCTTCCACTGCTGCACGGCCACGGACACAGCTCTTGCTGGCCTGGGTGTGGCGTGCCCTCAAGCAATCTTGGAGTCGTGGACACACTAGCATACGCTGCATGTGGCTTGAAGTCCTCACTACATGCCTTGGGCAGCCGAGGTGAACCAACAGCTTGACTTCGGACAGACAGGATATATGCAAAAATCGAGAGGGAGCCCATGCTACCCCAAGACCTGCATGGATGCATCCGATGGATGGACTTTGGCATCTCCGAAGCCCTCTGATACGGAGAGCTTGCATACACCCGCTGTGGGGATAGAGGATACCTGCGAAACCAGCGAGCGGCAAGGTTCGCTAAAATTCTGTTGACCTCCTGAAACCCCTGCAGCAGCGTTTGGACACCTGGACCTGACTGCTGAAGTCTGGAGCTTTGTAAGCTGCAACAACGTGGATGATTGCATGAAAGCCTCTAAACTGAAAATCTGGTGATCTGGTGTGCTCTCCTGAACTCAGCCTGCTTCTTCTTCGGGATCAAGCACCCGTTTCGCTGCGCGAGAGAGATAAGCGCCTCTGAGTCGGTCTCCCTGCTGAACCTGATATGCCTAATTCGCGCTAAACAGTTATGAGGAGCATTTGCACTGTGGCCTATATGCCCTAATTCATAATTCACTGCTATTCTATAATTTGTAGCAGACGTCCACTTGCAGACACACGACCCTGCAGTAGCCACCTGATGACTTGTTTGTACAGCCGAGTTGTCGAGCTTTTTTCGTCTTAGATGTTCTAGATGACATCATCAGTGATCATCCTTTGTGATGAGTGTACAGTTCCTCTGATACCCGAGAATCCTGTAGCCCTACTCGGTGGATGCGTTGATCGGTATGGGGTTACTATTGTTTCTTTTTGCTTCCTGGTTGCAAACTTGGAGTAGGGCCCAGGTGAACTCGGAACTGCTTGATTTGGTGAACAGGAGACAGCCCTGGGTTAGCAGGCTTGCGTTGGGGCTAGATGGCTGATCTCCTTCGCCAAGTTCAGCTAGGAGTTGAAGGTCGGTTTGGATGTATGCCCCTCGACTTATGTTTGACAGTTGGGTGTGGCTTGTCATCAAGGGGGCCTGCATCGCATCCTGGACCTTCTCTGGTGCCCCTTTCTCTTACGTCGGACGAGTTCCCTGCGGTGCGACACAGTCAGCTGGGCGGGTGGGAAAAAATTGCTAAGAGCAAACAACTTGTTGACTCCACGTGAAAAAAAGGGCTCGGGATTACACAAATCCTGATGCAAAATCTGGCGGAAATGAGCTGTGACCGAGCAAAAAG